TGATATTAGGGGAGGGCCCGGGTTAGAACGTGCAAATCTACATTCACCCCTATACCTTTATGGATGAAGAGTAAACTCGAGTACTTTATACAGGTGTATAAGTGAGTTTGTCACATTCAAATCAATTTCCTGTGATTGTAAATAAATAAATAAAATAAATGAAGGTAATGGAGCCGGGGCCTTGCGTGGTTACGCTACTACGCGTGATTGAATTTAATTCTTATTTGAGAAGTTATAAAATTGTTTTCCTATAATTTTGAAACAGTTCAATGCCCGTTTTAATTAGCATTTTACACGACGTTGCATTGTCAAGGAATTAATTAAAACTAACAAATGTTAATTTAAAACAGTTAAATATTGAGAAAGTTACTTCAAGAATTTAAAAACGCTATTTTTTTTTTTTACACAAGAGTAGATAAAAATATCTTATTTCAATTTAAAATGAAGCGCGATGAAGCGGAATCGATGCTTATATTACAGAATTTTTTAATCATCATCTTTATAATTATCCATTATAGAAAGTTTCTATTGAGAAATTCACTGTTAGTTGAAATTTCCATTTTTTTACGTATATTTTTTTTTTAAATAAGACTAATTTAAACGATATCCTGCCAATTCGCTACGTGTGCGTTATAAATACTTGTAATTGTAAATTTGAAAAATATGGATTTAAATCACACACATATATAGGCTATACTGTATAAGTAATCAAAATAATATATGTATTTTTTATTTTTATGCTACATAAATAAATTTATTTTAAAGGAAAAATTGCGTATTTTTCTATTACCTTACTAACATTTCTAAAAGCCATTAAATTCTATTGTCTGTTGATATGTCTGTATGTAACTTTCACATAAATTCATCTTTAAAAATTCGAAAAAAATATTTTTAATGTTATTTCTATATAAATTAAATTTTAATTGTCTTCAAAAGAATTAATTGAGACTAAGNGGACAGATAGAGCGAGACATAAAGGAAAGGAAGAAAAATCACGAAAGTTTTCTCTTCATAGACGTTAGTGAAATCTGAGGAAAGGAAGGAAAATCACGAAAGTTTTCTTTTCATCGACGTTAGCGAACTCTGAAGAAAGGAAGGAAAGAAACACGGGTACCCCACCAGCAGTCTTTTCTTGTCTTTGTTTTTTGTTCTTAATCTTAATATTTTTCTCTCATTCTACTTCTTTATTTAGTATATAAGTTAGATTAAGTTAGGTTAAGGTAGGTTAAGTACGGTTTTACATTGTCGCGAAGTACCGTTGCACTCTCTCTAATTCTGATATATGTATATGTACACGAATTGTATATATTGGAGTTGGGATCACTGAGAATCTTGTATAATTGGACGAAACGACAATAACACTTTGGAAACTTTTATTGTAGACTAATTTCTTTGTGTCGTTCGTCCACGTGCTCTCCACAAAGCAATGGCGACGTCGAACGGTGCACACTCGGTAAGTAATCCTACAATTTTTTGTTTATAGCATAGTTTATACGGATTATTCCTAAAATAATATACTGTACGTGTTTTGGAAATGTTGAGTCGAATTAGTCTAGGAATCGATTAATTTTATGGAAGAAAACCTTTCAAACAGCCGTAGTCCGTAAACTTCACACGTATCGGGCTGTGATTGGCAAGGACTCGTACAAAATGGATTCATAAAGAACGGAACGTATCTACTGTGTTATAGGGGGGTCGACTGTACTCAGGTCAATAAACGTACTGTACATTTCATATACTAACACTGTTGTTTCTATCACCTAATCCAGTGTTTCTCAACGGGGGCGATACCACCCCCATGTGGGCGATTTTCCATGTTGAGTGGGCGATTAGTGACAATTTATATTTTGGGAGAGCGAAAAACAATTTTCTGGGCGATATAATAAAACATTATATTAATTAAGAATAATTAGATATTTTATTCGTTATATCGTACAATAATTAAACAAATAACATTATACTAGTCACTAGTCTATTCAATGCAGTACGAATTTGGCATTAGCCTTGGTCCTCGGCCTAGGAATTTTGAAGTGAAGGGGGCGATGGTTCGTCACAGGTTGAGAAACACTGATCTAGACATTTAGTTAATACATAAAATTATATTTTGTTGCCAAAAATCTGTAGCCAGGAATATAATCAACCATTCAATATCAGGCATTTATGTATAATTATATGAACATACATGCATTAGATTAAACATAATCTAAACAATCTCTAGCTTAGGGCCTGACAATACGGGACTACTGTTTTAAGGCCTCGTAATTTGTGGAGGAATTCTTACATGTTACAGCCCATATGTGATATAAAATTAGCAATTCCTAAGGATAAACCGCACAATACAATAAACCCATCATAAACCCATCAACGGATGTGGGTTCGGATCCTATTGAGGTTACATATGTTATTCTTTCTAGTAGATGCAGGTTTATATACAATCTTACTTTATAAGTTATTTATTTATTAGTCAGCCATACTTAAATTTGATTTTAATTTCTACTAAAACTTGATCGGTTATTTAGAAACGTAGAAATCAATCGAATAAATTTATCTTAAAATCTTAAAGCATTGCCAATCCTTCAACCAAATGATGCTGGTGGTACAGTTCAACTGCAGCTGGATATAACGACCGGAAGGGCTCAGTTGTAGAGGAAGGAGAGGGAGAGTTTTAGAGGTTCTATATGTTAAGATAACTGTACGTTTCGTCTATTGTTATTCACATTTGATTTTCCTTCGTTAATATTTATGAAAATTTCGAATGTAGGACCATATCAAAAAGCGGGTGTTGAATCGTATAACAGAAATAATCGCTGCTGAATTTTTTATGGTTCGGTACATACTAAATCATAAGACAATGGTTCGGATCTTCATATTATCTACGTGATCTTGATGATGTATTTTTTTTAAATTTACACCATACTACACCTTTAATTTTTTTAATTATAAACTTGATGATAATTAAAAACATTTTTCATTATATTATTTTTCTTATTTAAACGATATTTGTTTGTTAATTTATTAATCTATCGGTTCTTCAAAGAAAAACTAGAGTAAAATAGTAATTATTTTTATACTACTTTACTTTCTTATAAAAAGAGACTTAAGACTAAAATTAAATAAGATTATTCGTAAAAATATTATGTGAATTATTCACACAAAAATTAAGAAAAAATTCAAGTAAATTACTATTATTCTTAATTTTTGTACTAAGAAAAAAATTTACGTCAAATAGTAGAAAAATTCAAGAAACATCGTAGAAAAATTCAAGTAAAATACTGTAATACAAAAATCAACCGATTAATATATTTCTTTTTCCTTTTCTATTTTAATGCTGTTCATAGAAAATGTCTTGCTATAGAAAGGGACTTTATATATTTGCTTTTCCAAGAAAAATAACAATAAAAAATTTGAAAATATTATATAAAATATTCAATTGAATGTTTCATAATAAATCAAAGTAACAAAAATGCTTGGTTTTGTTTGGATTTATCGATTTTCACTAAACTTTTCGAATTCAATTTTCTGACGCTTTTGTGAATTTGTTTCTTTCTGCATAACTTAAGTCTATTTTTTCTCTCCCCCTTTCAACCATTCTCTAAATTTAATTATTTATTTTTTAAATTATTTTTTGAAAAAGGAGGAGAAGATTAAGTTTAATACTTCGGTAGCATTTATTAAATATATTCCTCTTTTTAGATAAATTTCCAGGTTCTTGCTTTAATTAGAAATGGCGCGAGTAAATAATTCATTAATTTCGATTTTATTTTTATAAAAATTTGGTTAAATGTCATTTCAATGTAAATTTTAAGGTAATAAAATGGAATTTAATCAGTTAATTTCTTAAATAGAATTTATTTTAAAGCTTTTTTTTAGTTTAACGCCATTAAAAACGCGAATATTTGCATAAAATAGAGTATAAAATATGTAAAAAAATATTAATTCAGTGTTTATGGATGGAAAATAAGTAAATATATAATAGTAAGATTAACGCTTTGAATATATTGCTCTTTGTAATTGAGAACAATTGGAGAAAAATTAAGCAAAATAGTAAAGAAAATCCAATAAAATATTGGAAAAGTTTTAAAATTTAATATAAAAAAAGTTTAATTATCCAAATAGAATAAGTTTTCGCATCTGGATGAACAGCAACAAAGACTCATCAGAATAATAAATTTGACAGGAGTTCCGCTTTTCATAATAAACACGAAATAAAGAGTAGAAGAAGAAGAAAAAAATTTTCAACGACAATTATTCCATTAAATAATTCACCTGTCGACAGAAGTCCTCATTTTTTTCCTGTTATATAAGTCCCATTTTTAGAATATTAATTCATGCGTTTTGAAAATTCAAAATTTCGAATTAACAAACGTCATTGGTCGATTCCGAATTCCCGAATGCATTTAACTTACGGTTAATTGGTGAACGCGAATAATAATTTTTTTTTTAAACAATTATTAATATTGTAGACCACCGGATGTTCCGCAATTATTAAAATGAAGATGAAACGAAACGTGACCATCGATTATTTGCCAACCTGCGCTGCCGAACGAAAAGCCAGGTGGTTGGCGCCTGTCACATGACCGGAGCTACAGGAAGCGGGCGTCTCGAGTCACGTGACCAGCCGTCAACAGGAAGCGTCTCCTCCAGTCGGGACATTAAACTGTTGTTTTTATTTTATTTTACTTTTTTTTACACGTTACATAGAAGGAGGAGAAATAATAATAAAGAAAACATATTTACGTTTACGAAATTTAAATTAAATAATTAGTTTGAATTTATAAACGAAGTAAATGTTTAATATATTATTTATAAGTTTTACGATTTAAACTAAATCATTTTATATTATTATTTATTTAGAAAAAAATTTAAATAATTTTGTACTTATCCTCTTCGACAATGGTATTATTATTTATTAATGTTTAAGGTTCCATAAATTTCGTTGCATAAAAAAGAATGAAAATAATAGAAAATGCATGGTAAAAAAAAATAATTTCTAAATTTCGTCTTAGGCCATTGAGACGAAAAATAGAGAGGAAGGAGGACAATAGAACCAGCTACGACCAGCTGCAGCAAACAGATGACAAGAAGAGAGAGACAGCTGGCACGTGCCGTCTATTAGTCAAACACCGTCGGGTGCTCGTGGCACGTGGCAGATGTCCATCCCCCATCACCTGGACCAGAAGAACAAATGGAAAGAAACAGCCTGCACAGCCCCTATAAATAGGGGAGAAACACCCGCCAAGTCAGCATTTTCATCTAGTCTTTCGTCAAACACGCTTCAACATGGGACAGACAACTAGTTGTATCTCTGGCAAAATGGTAAGTTTTCATACTCTGCATAAACATTTGGAGTTTACAATTGTTTTTTGCTTACTCTTAACGTTGTTTATCATTACTGTTTTTTGTTTTTAGGGCTGGCAAGAACCTTATATGCCTGCCAAAATCATCAGCGAAATTGTAAACAGCGAGTATCAGCTGAACAACGCGGTTCCTTCCGAACAGCAGAACATTAACAGGAGACTAACGTCGCTTCTTGCTCTAAAATGTGGATGTTTGGATTCTAACGGGAACGGAAATGATCACTCTCAAAATTGCAAGAGTGTAAAACGTGGAAAAACCTTTATTACTAAAAGTGATTCCTTCAGTTACGCCAAAGATTCGACTTTAAAAAAGTCACTTTTTAAGGAAGTGCAATGCAAAGCTGTCAATTTCAATCAGAACGAAGAATTGAAATCAAGTAACAAATTTCATCCACATTTCTCCAAGTCCGTCGAAGTGGAGAAGTGTCAAGTTTTGATGCCTCCTCAATCTAATAAAGTGATCAAATTGGAAACAAAATCAAGCTATCAAGTCAACTCGCAAGAAATGAATCTAAACAGACAGAGGTTAGTTTATATCTTAAGTTTTAAAATGAATTAAACAATTGTAAATGTAGTAAGCCTTTTCTTAAACGTGTGACTTATATTTTATAGGATATTATGCGCAAAGACATCCCTCTCGAGAATTTTGGAAAGGTGTTATCAACCTCTTCCCGATTTAAGCGATAAAAGCCAAATGATTGAAAACTGTAAAAGTAAGTCTCTTTCATGATGTCTAAATTCCTAGTACAAGATAAGAGCACATATTAAAACACTTTTCTACATTTTAGATGTCGTTGTCTTGCTAACCAACCACGCAGACAACATTGCAACTAACTTTGGATTTGCTGTAAAGGCGACAAACGATCAAAACTGGAAAGTGGTAGAAGAAATTACAACCAGAATCTGCAGTTCCATTCACACACTAGTCCAAGATTACTGTAAAAATGGAAGCCTGAAACATTTCGCTTCTTTGGTATGCATCAATTATTTGATAAAAATTAAATCTAAGGTTAATTTCTATTGACACATTTACTAAAATTATTATTTTTTCCCTTTTAGTCATGGAATAAAGTGATTTTGTGCTGTGATAAATTAATGTCGATGATCAATTGGTAAGTTGCTTTTCGCATGAATTTTAAATTTTTAGTGAATATTTTGTTCATGTAGCTCCTTTTTTTTCTATAGCAATACAACACCTAGAGATAAACTGAAGAATCAAATCACTACTCTAGGACAAGAACTGCATTATGTTATGGAATCTTTAGTCTTATATGAATTACTGGTAAGTTTCTCATTAATTATATTTTGGCATTACTAATTTTATTTGAGTCTATGCGAATATGCACGAAGAATAGCAAAGAACACGCCACTATGCCGCCAAAATTAAAAAAAAAAAAAAAAAATACGTGATTTTAATGTTCTTTTTGTGCTTACAAAATTAAAAATATTTTAAATATTTTTGCATTTTTAAAGTATAGAAGTAGATTGTGGCCTATTGCACGCCACTTGATCACGCAACTGTCTACATTTAAGTCGTATCGACGCATTAGTACCTTTATATTATTTAACAGTGTTAATTCTTAATTTAAATTCCGCACAATAATTTAAAACACGATAGTTAAATATTTAAATTAATTATTTTTAAATAGGTAATAATCGAAGAAATGAAAGACGAAACAAATTGTCTTCATGCTATGAGAGTACTTTTAGATTTATCAAAAATTTCAGACTTCATGTGCTGTTTAATAATTAAGGTAAATTTACAAAACATTTTTAAAAATTAAATATATAATTTTTTAAATTATAAACTTATAATAATTTTAATTAAAAATATAATTTTAATTTTTTTGCAGTCAGGGGGCGTGCAAGCTATGTTTGAAATTCTAAGCCTAAACAAAAAACAATTTAGTCAAGTGGCATTCAGAGTTCTGACGTCATTGTTTACAGTCGATCCCGCCCTCTGCCAAATTAAAACTGTAAGTACTATCATTTATTTTTTGCAAATTTATTAGCTTTTAATATGTATAAAATTGTCATTGCTAAATGTTAATTTTAAATTTTCCAGATACAAAAACTTCAGAAGATTAAACAAGTTGTGTTTAATTCGAAAAACGAAGATGACGTTTTTCTAGAAGCCATCGCTTTTCTGGCTCAAACAGCCGAAAGACACGACCAAATGTTGACGTCACAGCTGTTTGATGACGAAGAACTATTATTATTTTTAAATGGTAAATATTTAATTATTAAATTTGAACGCCATCTTTTAAATAATTTATTAAGGAAAAAAATTTAATTATTTTTAAAATAATTTTAGATGTCGTCAAAAATACGAAAAACGAGAAAATTTTGATACTAGTCCATAATATTTTCGCTAGTCTTTCTTTAAGAAGTAATCCGTCTAGAAAAATGCTTATAAAAACTTCCATAGTCAAGAATTTAATTTACGAATGTTTAAATAAACAACTGGCAACATCACTTGCTATAAAGGAACAGGTAATTTAAACAAATTTTGCCAAAAAATATCGTGCTGCCATCTGATGACACATTTCGGAATCAATAAATTAATTATTATATATATATTTTTTTCATAACAGGTAGCAACAATATTGACCAGTGTTATTAGTTATAAAGAACAAAGAGAGGAGATTATAGACAACAATCTTCTTTCTTTACTTCTTTCCTTCGTCGCCATTCAACCTAAAACAATTAACGATCTTCAAGAGAGAATTATATGTAAAAGAATACAAGAAAAAGCGGCCATGGCTCTATCTCTGTTGTGTGACGATAAAAAATCCATAGATTTATTGATTAACAATAAAGGTATGTTAAAATTTTCAATAATTTAAAAAAAATTTTAAATTTATTATTCTTATTTAATTTTTTAAAATTAATTTTATTTCATTTTTTTAGGCATTCATCAATTATTGTGTGTCTGTAAAATTGAAGAAACGTCAAACAGCCAAAGCGTTGTGTTGTTATTCTGCATGGTGAGTTGAAAAAAAAATTTAATAAAAAAAATTTATTTTAAGTAAAGAAAAGCTCTAATTATATTAAAATATAATAATGTTTTAAAAATATTAAAATTAAATATCAAAATAACTTTTTTATTATTATTAAAGAGTTCATGCAAATTTAAGTAAAAATTAANAAAATTGAGTTAGTTTTGCTTAATTTTTAGCTTTAAAAAGTCGAAAAATTTTACAAATTTAATTCTTTTTGTTCAAAAATAATTTATAATTTGGCCAATTTTTCAATTTTTAAAGCTAATTTTCCGCTTTTTATAATTTACAACAAAAAATTTCAAATTGATGCAAATAACTTCATTCTTCTAAATCATTTTAAACCTTAAAGCTGCGCTATAATATTATTAAAACATTTTTTGAAAGTTATTTAATATTAAATTATTTTTAAAAAAATAAAATTTTAAATTATTACATAATTTGCCTAACAAGTGCATTTTTTTTTCTTTGTTTTAACAGTTAGCACTACAAAGGTTGGCTGTTTCATGTCAGAATTTTGTTTCTACAGAAGTCAACGAGTTTCTATGTAAAGAATCTTCTCTCATTCTCAACGAAAGTTTTGTTTAAAGTTTTAAAAATTAAAAAAAAATTGTATAAAATTTTATATTAATATATACATAAATTTTTAATATATTGTAAATTGTAAATTACTGTATATAAAAACTTTTATATAAATATTGAAAAAAAAATTATAAAAAATGTCAATAAAAGTAAGTTTTATATTTTAAAAATTTAATTCTGAATCGTTTTATTTTAGATTTTAATTAATTTCTAATTAAAATTACACTTAGATTACATGTTAAAACGATAAACCAATCCACGAGTGCTTCTTATTGACTAGAAGCAAACAAACCAATGGCGTACTCAGTTTCATATAAAAGGAAGCATGCCATTGATTTGCTTACTTAAAAGCATCCAAAATTATATTTTTTGACAAAATGTTTTAAATTTTTGATATAACAATTTCAAAAACGGAATATAAATATTTAAAAAATAATAATAAAATAAATAATATAAATGAATAATTTATATACGGTATATTAAAATATAAATTCATGAAAAATTTATTTTTAAAAAAATCAGGAATCTTTCTTTGATTCTAATCACATCGTTTATTATAATCCCAACAATAGAAGAACGTAATAAATCAATACGAATTCAAGAATTCGTCACATACAATTTCCATTTACTATACTAAATAAGATGAATGCATTTGGAAGAAAATATAATTTTTACATTAAAAAATCTAAAAATTTTAAAGGTTAAAAAAATAAAAATATTTGGAAAAATTTTTATTATTAATATTTTTTTCCTCCAAATCAAGAATGGATAATATTTTCCCCCTCTAATGGGCAACAGCCCTTTGTAGTAGTAGTAGTATTAGTAGTACAATACAATTTCAGTATTTTTTATGATTATTTTTATTAATAACTCTTTAAAAATTAGTTATAAAATACTATTTTAATATCAAGTTGCTCTTCTCTAGTTTTTTGTTGCTTGTGGCCAAGTACAGATTATAAAGTGTAAATATTTTAAGTGGACAGTACTTAGTATTGTTTAAGAATAAACAGAATTAATAAATGAATGCTTCAATCTTATTTTTTTTATTTTAAAATAGAATATTTTGAATAGATTTATACAAAATTTAGCAATGCTTAAATGATGTAAATTACGTATTAATCCTTTATAAATTTTTAGAATTGTTATAATGAAAGAAGCTAATTTTGTTTAATTACGACGAAATAAAATATCCTTGTTTGTAAAACATAAATATAACAAAAATTTTAAATAAATTTCATAATAAACCAAATATGTAGATTTATATGCCAAAATGAACTGGTACTAACACCAATTTGTAAATAAAAATGTAGAAAATTAAAGTTTTAAATTGTATACTAATCACCCTGTTAAAATTTAAGCCTATTTCCTAAAATAATTAAAAAATAAGCAAAAATATGTAATCAAAATAGAAAAAATTGTATAAGTAATCATTAATAATAAGTATTTTATGTAAAATTTTAAGAATTTTTTGAACTACTGTATATATACATATGACAAACAGTACATATGATAACAACAACAAATGTGAAAGCATTTATTACACTTCTACAAATATACAAACGAAAATCACAGAAATAACACGTGACTGTACATCATTGTTGACAATATCACTCAAAACCTTATAAATCTGTACAATGAAAATAAAGAATAATATATATTTATATATATATATTTATTTATATTGTTTTGTATATGTATATATAATAGATAAATGGTCTCATTAACAGATAATTTTTTTGTTTTATCCAAACGTTTACATGTTGGTAAGGTTCCCACTGTTTCACACTAAAATACTGTATACATATACATATAAGAAATTTTCTCATCTCAAAAATTTCGAATTATATACAGTTAATTTCTTTTATTTTTTTTCTTCATAGAAATATACAAATACATTTTGATAAAAATAAAAATGAATTATTCTCTCTCTCTCGCGTTTAAGGAAGTGAAAAAACAAATAAAAAACGAAACTTGAGATCATATTTAACTCATGTTTTATGCAAATTATATATATAATTTTTCTTTTAAATTTAATATATTATTTTTCTCAACAACACAATATAATAATAATTTCTTAATATCTTTTTAAATAGTGCATATATTCATTAATATATATATCTTGACGCTGACAAATAATGGTGCAATTAATTCTGCGTTAAAAATTTCTTCTGACAGTTTACTAAAACAATAATTTTTAGATTTGTATAAATTTAAAAAATAAAAATTTATAATGTAGTTCGCAACAAATCGTGCGAATATAGTTACCTCAGCGTGTGTTTGTGTGTGTGTGGCTGTGCTTCGATCGAGTTTTGTAATGCAGATAACCACGAAAGCTTGCAAGTTTTCTTGCTTTTTATACTTATAAAGAATGTTTTAACGGAATGGAAAACTTTTTAAGTAGATTTTACGAAACAATTTTTTTTTTTTTTTACTTTCTTTTATTTTTATTTATAAATTTTGCGCACAGAAACGCCTAAACTCAATCGCAAATATCGCTCTCGATTATAACATTTACGACCATTTTCCTATAAAAACTGAAAGATAAAACTTCACATACAACATACAGAATTTATAATTTTTTTTTCTTAATAAATAACTTTACATATATATATATATATACTTTTACATTGAGAATGATAATTTCATGTATTTTTTTTTTCTTTATATTATTTTTAAACGAGTTAAAGCAAAATATAATCCTTTCTTTGCAATGAAACAGTTAAAAAATGAACTAAAATAATAATAATAGTTTGATAAACTCTGCACATTTCTTGGCATCCATAACCATTTCTGTATTGTTTTTCATTTATATAAATGTACAAATTTCTACAGTGTTTTATTTTACAACAGAAACAATATATATATTAAAAAATTAAATTCTGATAATTAAGAAGCACCAAATAAATGTATTTTTTAATAATCATCTTGTGTTTTTTTCTGTTATAAACAATTAAGTAGATTGTTGGATGGAAAATAATAAATAAAAACTTAAGTATTTAAATTTAAAAAAATGGCACTTTTAACATCACATACGACGAGAAAACTAAACTTAAAAAATAAAAAAAATAATAAAATATATATAATATAAAATTTTTCAGTTCACGCAACTCACTATGGTTAACTCGCAGCGAGCAAGGAACTTATTGAGAATTGGATCTCTCCAAAGACGAAGAAGAAAATGAAAAAAAATAGTAATAAAATTACATTGCTAGCTCATACAATTTCCACAAAAAATTGAAAATAATTTCTGTTGTTTTTTTAGATATATTTCTCGAAATAATAATAAAAACAAATATATATGTTTTTAAGGAATGTCTTTAAAAAAATGCAGAATTAAAACTAAAAAAAATTGGTGGTGATGTGTATTCCTCGCGTGTTAAGAGTAAGTTAAATCGTTTAAATTGGTAAAAATGTCACTAGGTATATCTTCTATCGAGAAAATAAAGTAATAATAATAGTAATGATAATAATAATAGTAAAAAAAAAGGATAAGAAAAATTAAATCTAAAATTTACATCGCCATCTTCTCCAAAGTGAAGATCCTTATCATAATTTGAAGTATTCTCTCTTCAAAGTGCCCAATTAGCGTTTGTAATTGAATATCCGAATTTCTAATGTTAGCTGGAAATTTTCTGCAAAAAACAAACACATTTTTTAGTGATGTTTAATATCCGTTTAGAGTTAAAAGGAAATATTTTAATTAAATAATAATATTAAGAGTGAAGAATTGTTATACTGAATTTAATTACAAATTAATGCAATTACGGGTTTTGATAGAATTAAACAATTTTTAGCATGTTCAATATAGAATTGTAAATTGGAGAACCACTCGACTTTCATAATTTACCACTTAATTGATTAGGTTTTACTGTAAGGTTTGGTGGAAAAATACAACAGTTTTGATTTAATTTCTTACACTATCTTATTTAAAGTAAAAGTTCTTATCTTTAATGATTTTTTAAAATATAAATAAAACTATCAATTAAAATAATTTACATACAGGACTATATACAAAATAAAGAGCAATTTTGGTTTAGAGAGCCAAAATTACTCTTTATATCGAGAATATATTCTCGATATTCAGTAACATTTTATGCCACTCTACGATCATCCCACCTTTGTTTTTCTATGTTACATACAGCACGGTGCCAAGTTTCATGAATTTTCGTGATAATTTAATGTCATAAAAATTCATTTAAATACATTAATAATGTATTTTGTACATGAAATACGCCCCAAATATATTCACGTAACAATTTTTTCATGTGAAAACTCCAGAATAGGAACAACGGAGTCGATCAAAGAGTCAAAAAAGTAAGTTAAAATAACATTTTTTTCCTTTGTAATTAACTTAATCGTGTATGAAAAGAGAAAAATGATGTCACCATTCGGATTTAAGTGGGTTATGTAAATATTTATCCCTCATTTAAACATAGTCTTTACAAAAATAACAACTTTCATGTCGAAAAAAATAAAAAACGTAAAATTTAGATCAATAAAGTTTTGAAATAAAACGCAACGTCACGATCATGTTTTATGGAGTTTTAAAATTACTTCTGATCAGATTATCATAGAATTTGATATAGATAAAAGAACAAATTTATGTTTAATTTATGTAAAATTAAATTAACCATATTAATTTTAAATTTATAATAAAAATAAATCGCATGTTACACCGTCATTTCTATAAGTAAATGTTGATTTATGATTTGTGTGGCTACATGAAATTAATAATAGCATTTCAATTTTGTATCGAATACATTCTGTCACAGTACCCTAAAACTGACAATTCTGAAACGAAAAATTCACGTTATAACTTACAATTTTTCTTTCTATCAAATAGCTAAAAAAGAAAAAAACCACGATTTCTGTTTAAAAAGGAAAAAAAGATTTACAGATATTTTTATATAGATAAAAAAAATTCAATTACATTTCCTTCTTCTTCGTGGATTGTCTCCATTTCTTCAGATGGCATTTTAATCTCCTGTTCAATGATTGGCGTGGTCTCTTCTTTAGATAAACACAGACCGTTCTCTCTCTCCTTGGCTTTAGCTTCCTCCTTCAGGATATTAATCCAATATTCGTAATTTTCCTGGAGATGCTTAGTTTGAAGACAAAACACATTCCTCTGTTTCATTTGGACGCTGGTTCGTCTTCTTGTAGAAACGACTGTAGTAATAAATATGTTGGGTTTTTCATTTTTTAGTTCTTAAATTCGTAAAAAATAAAAAAAAATGACAATGTACTAACCACTTGGGATACTGGAATCGCTATCGACGACTTCCTCGTCCTCCTTTCCATCTGACGTGTCTCCCTGATCTGTATCAATCGGTCCTGTCGATTTTCCAATATTAAAATCATTTAAAATTTGTTTTTAAAAATTAAAAATAAAAATACCTTCGTCTTCACTTTCGGAATTTTCTACCCATTGGCCAGGTAACAATGCTGCTTCACCATAAGCATTACATAATGGTGCAACTAAGTGATTAATAAAAGATTCTTGTAGCTTAGCCAATTGAGGATTCTTCCTATCCATGAATGGAGAAATGGGTAATCCTAATGCTGATTCTTCATCGCCCTAAAATTCAGACATTAATTCGAAAAAACAATTAAATTCTACATTTAAAAAATCCAGCAAAGAGTTGCTTTACTTTCCCAGAAACGTTTCAAATTGCTTATGTTACGATTACGATATTTTATTTTACAAGTAAACATATAAACAATTAAACATATAAAATGTTTTATAAAATGACCAAAACTTTAATTTCGAAGGTAGGATAGGTTTTACAGAAAATTGTAAATGCTAATAACGAGTGAAATCGTCGTTAAATCCGGCCCTACTCGAGATAAGACACATGACACCCTTTTGTCTTCCTACCCCCTCGATCTTTAACCACCAAAATTTAATGGCATAAATCCCTTTAATAAACAAACCGCTCCTCAAAATTTCAGAAATTTTCGACAAAAATCACATGAGTTATTAAGCTTCGAAGAGGATAAACAAAATCGTGCTCACCCCACACACAGGCATACTAGCATCTATTACTAATGTAAGTTTGTTTTGTTGCTCTTTATGTTACAACAGATAATACTTTTACAAATCAATAGTTTATACTAACAACTCTTGAATTTTTTGAAATCTACTCTTCTCAATTCTTCAATCTCTATTGATACTTTCTCATAAAAAGTATTCCGTTATGCTTGACGGGAAAATTTTCTAGTATATATAGAAAAATCCCTAAACTTTTTTGCATTTTTCGACGTTTCAAAGTCCCCGAGTACAAAAATGTAAAAATCTTGGAAAGGGTCTTTTTTTTATCGATCGCCATGCTTTCCCTCTGTTATATATAACAAAACCGGAAAAGTAAAATTAATTCAAATTCAGATACTTTACTACTATAGATTTACATTTATCAATCAACTCTAGGCTACTAAAGATTCTCAGTTACCTGTTCATAAAATTCCTCTGCAATCCTGTAAGTCCACTGTTTATGAATATTATACTTTTTACATGGTCCATTAATATCTGCTAGCTTAATGCACATTTCCATAACAAGCATCCTGTCAGTTTCCGATAACCAATCAATGCCTGGAGCTTCATCATCATTAGCCTTAAAGTAGATAAAAATGGTATTATAACTCGTCTTTAAAAACACGAAAAGAGTAATGATATAAATCTCTTACTTTAGCATTGAATTCGGCTAAAATCTCGAAATGCCTCTTGAGATCTGTTGCCAGGATACACTCGATGACTAAGAAACGAAAACGTTTGAATTCTGCTTTCTCCAAATGACATAACCAGTTGAATTCGGGACGAGATAAGAAAAGACACCAAGCTGCAGCGGCGTGATGATTTTCCAGAACGGAACGGTCATTATACAGAACTGCCTACAAGTTGAACCTTTAGTTGGGAATTTTTAAATTACGTTTAAAAAAAACTTTATGCTTACTTGAGGAGCGTAAGTAGATACCAGAAAGGCATTCGTTCTACCGGGATGATCGTAATCGTGCATGGAAGCGGCTGCATATAATGCCATTAATTCCAGAGCCGGAAAATTTGCTCCCATGATACCATAGGAATCGTCTATTGTAAAGCCTTGACGACATGCTGTATCTGGAATAAATTTTTAATAAATTTATCTATCCATCCGTTGCAGATAATTCACTGGACAGACATAACTCACTAGAAACTTTATGTATAACAACTTTAACAATAATCCCACTGCAGCTATAAGTAATTTTTAGCGAAATAACATTTCTAAAAAATTGGTTGAATGTGAGCAGTGTATTGCTATTATCATCCTCCCAATATATTTTTCCCCTTCTTTCAACTTGTTTATGAGAAGCCATAAAAAGCAAATACTGTACTGTGTACTGAAAACCATAAATCTCTCACTGAAGAAGCAGGTTTTGTAACCATTTCAATACTTATGCATCACAGAAGTTATAATAATAATACCAGGGATTTAAACTTTTATTATATATATATAATTTATTTATTTATTTAAAAAAACTCACTAGCTGATTTGTGGAGAGGTGAATCTGAAGATTCCGACGGTATTTGGGTCAAGCCAGGTACTGGTTGTGACGTGAGATAATACACACCATGTAGTACATCGGCAGCGTGCATGCGATTATGATCTAGAAGTATAAATCACGATACAAATGATTAAAAAGTGGGGATTAAAATAATAAAAATCTCTCAAACAATTAAAAATTATTTACATGGTTTTTCTCTATAACCATTTTCTAAAGCGTGGAAGTAATTTATAAATTCTTGTACCGGAATCTTGAAAGTTTCAAAGAGGCCCACTTCTAGGAAGACGCGATAGCACATCTGAAAAGAAACTCTTATCTACGTCGTTCTAGATAACAAAACGTATACTTATAGTTGGTTGTAAGAGATAAACTACCTGACTTAAAATTCGATCACCCGCTTCCTGTTGGAGATCGAAAATCGGATAGTCCCATTCGTGAATACGATTGAGCAATGGATCACAGACTAACTTCTCTAAGTTGTACTTTTCTAGATCGATAATATAATCGTTTTCTACTGGCGATTGTATTTTCATTGCCTGAAATATTACAAAACTGTTAAAGCAAATATTAAGATATAAAAAAATTAAGAAACAGTTCTTATACTTTTCCGACTCTGTTTTATATATAACAGAGGAAAGGTATGGCGATCGCCAAAAAATGACCCCCTTCCAAGAGTTTTACATTTTTTGGACTCTGAGTACCCGGAAGCGTCGAGAAATGCAAAAAAGTCGGAGGTTTTTCTGTATGTATTGATGTTAGTGTGTGGGGGAGGCACGATTTTGTTCGCCCGGTTTAAAGCTTAATTTAGTATAAAGAGATTTTGTTCGCCCTGTTCTTTTTTTCAAAAATTTCTGGGAGATTTGGGTATTAGGAGATTAATACTAATAAATTTTGATGGTTAAAGGTCGAGGAAGTGGGAGATAAAGGGGGTCGTGTCATATCTCGGATAGGGTCGGACTTAGGACGATTTTACTGTTTTATCATTTACAATTTTTTATAAAGTCCCATCCCTACTCTGAAAATTAAGCATTTTTGCCGTTTTAAAAAATATAAAATGTTTTTAAATATCATAACAAATGGCGCCACAGGTAGTTTTAAACGTTGCGGGAAAGTAAAGCAACTCGTTGCTGGAATTTTTTGGCATATATATAAAAAGACAACTACAATCTTCAGAAACTTTTCGATAAGTGACAAAATAACGTCAAAATCGAAAATGTTCTGCTTAAAATTAATTTATAAAAGTCAAAAAAATTTACCGCAGCATTGTTAAGTACAAGAAGCCAAATAATGTAATATTGCAATTAATACTTGATAAAAAAAATTAATCCCATGACGACAATTGTTAGTTACCAACATAACAATGCTTCTTGCTATTATACGAATATTCCCTGAACGTAACTGGTTAGCAAAATCTATAATTCAGTTAGTACATTAAGCCCTAATGTGTTCAGGGAAGGAAAATGGAAGCAAGAGGTCTTCTTACAGCATCAAAAATTCAAAGATCATAGTACTGATATCCCACTAATGAATGTGTGTGTGCTAAGAAAGCAAAATGAAGCTAAGTTCTATTTCTACAACACGAAAAAATATGAGTCAAAGATCAAGACAAACACAAGGAACGAATAAAATCAAAAAACTACCGCAGTAATTCAATAAATTATCTTTCAAACTTATTTCGCATATTTATACGAGAGACTAAAACAATCAAATCAAGAAGAGAGATTAAAAATAATTTCAAATTTCTCCAATTTTTCTGTTTAAAAAATAATAATAATAAAACCGAAAAAATTAATAATAAATTTAAAATTAATTTCATTTCATAATTCGTTTATGCAATTTTTATGAAAATTACATAATGTATTAAAAATTATTAACGAAAAGAAAAAAAGAAAAACCGTTTATAACTTGATTAAATTTTGATAAAAAAATTAAAAATGGATAATTGAATTCTTTTTTTGGTGTTTACTCGTTTGAAAAACAGGAATTGGCTTCGTGTTTCGTCTTTTGTCGCTAATAATAAATATTTACTAATGCAAATATAACGTTGTTATAATTATTAAATAACCAAATAAACGTAAGCGGTGAATCATATTAACAAGAAACTTACGATCTATCAAGCAAAACGGGTTTATAGTTCTACAACTACTCTATACACAGCTGCCATTAAAATGCAGAAGATAAATGATTATAGTTTTATACTTGATTTCAAATTCTGGATCAGAATAAAAAAAATTTCCACGAAGAGTTGCTTAACTTTCCCGGCAACATTTAAAATTTTGGTGATGCGATCTGTTATATTTTATTTTAAAAATCATTATATTTTTAATTACAGTATTATAAAATGGCAAAAGGCTTAATTTTCAGGATAAAGATATTGATAGGTTTATATAAAAAATTGTAAATGCTAATAACGAGTAAAATCGTCTTTAAGTCCGATCCTATTCGAGATACGATACACGACCCACTTTATCTCCCCACCCGGTTGACGTTCAACGACCAAAATTTATCATCATCAATCCTCCTAATATACAAACTTCCTTGCAAAATTTCAGAAATTTTTGACAAAAAGCACAGAAGTTATTAAGCTTTAAAGAGTGCCCCCCACACATCCATACAGCAAAACCTCCGAAATTTTTTTTGCATTTCTCGACGTTTCAACGTCCCGAGTCAAAAAATGTAAAAAATATTGGGGGATCATTAATGACCGATTGCCATACTTTCCCTCTGTTATATTAATACATAATAAAACAGGAAAGGTAAAAAAACTAATTTATTATCTATCATAACACTTTCATCCTGCAGAATTTTCCTGTCATTTTTTAAACTTTAAAGAAATTATTATTTACGATAACACGTTTAAATTTTGTAAATGGCTTTAGGTAGGGAGCCCGAGAATCCTCTAAACCAGGGGTCGCCAAAGTGGTCGATGCAACATCATTCGAGGGTCGATGCGGCTAAGGGGGTCACAACCTTTTTCTTTTTTTTTTTGCTTATACAGAGACCACAACTTTTTTTTTTGTTCATACACATACACTTGTAATAAAACTTTACGGTGGGGGTCAATGTGAGGCTTTGGAAAGTGGTTGGGAGTCGACGGTTAAAAAAAGTTTGGCGACCCCTGCACTAAACAGATTTTTCAGAAATATTTTTTTTGGGGGGACGAATCAATATTTTGTAGCTGAATTGTATATGTATTTTGTGTAATGTTTTATGTATATGTAATTGTAAATGTATTTTGTAGCTGAAATTCTCTACCTGTTTGAATCAATATCAAAAGGCATATTGATATTGATTCAAACAGGTAGAGAACTTCAAACCGGTCCGATTTACTTCAGATATTGATATTCATAGTGCCTTTCGAAAATATTTACTCGAAGAGTTGGTATACAACTACGGCATTGTACGTTATTTAAATGCAGAAAAAAATAATTTCATCGTGACGCTAAATTCTATCAAATTTCGGGCGACATTTTACGCTCCATTCTTCGCTTCGCGTACTGAAATATTTATCCGAAAGCGAATGTGATCACATTTTCTTTGATCTCACTTATTGAGTGACATGATAAGTAACATACATGCGTCACACCAGCCGTAACACATGATTAACGACTTTATTACATGATTTGAATAAGAAATGTTTACCGTCCATCCGGAAACAAAGATGTCTTGCATTTTTATACACCTAACTTAGTTTATAGTCCATTTTTATACTATGAATATAAAGAAAAAAATTGTAAACCTCGTAAAAAAAACCTGGTCTAGAAAGTATTTTTTTTTAATATCAGATAAATTCTTGGACCTGTATTTAATACACGTGTGATCACGTTTGAACATATTCAAATATTTGGACATGAATGATTAGTGTTATAAACTAACCTAATTATGTTCGTATTTAAAAATATTCTGAGCCGATAAAATCAGTAATAAAATATATTTAAGAGGCTATTTAACGTTACTTTTTTTCAAATTTTGTTTTTGAATTTTTCGTGGCATCTTTCTGCACAAAAAACAATTTCCAGATAAAATTTTGTACATTTCAAACCAGATTTCATGAAGTGAATAAAAAAATCCAGCAACGAGTTGCTTAACTTTCCCGGCAACATTTCGTGACGCCATCTGTTATAAAAAGTATTTTAAATAAAATATCATATTTTTAACTATTGTAAAATGGCAAAAAACTTACTTTTGAGGGTAGGGATGGATTTTATTTTTTAAAAAAACTGTAAATGCTAATAACGAGTAAAATAGTCATTAAGTCTGACCCTACTCGAGATACATACGACTCCCTTTATCTCCCTACCTCCTCAACCATTAAATCACCAAAATTTTATAGTATCATTCTCCCTAATAAGTAAATCTTCCTGCATAATTTCGAAAATTTTCGACAAAAAGCGCAGGAGTTATTAAGCTTCAAACAAGGTGAACAAAATGTATCACACATACACAAACATCAATACAGAAAAACCCCGAATTGCGGTTTTTTTTTCCATTTCTCGACGTTTTTAAGGTGCAGAGTCAAAAAATGTAAAAATCTGGTGGGGGCTATTTTTTGACCGTTCGCCATACTTTTCTTCTGTTAGGCTATATAGCCTATAACAGATTCGGGAAAGCAAAAACTAGCAATTTATTAGGAATTTTTTTAATATTAACAAAGACAGCCATTATTCGTTGTCTTAATACTTCAGAGAGAAATTAGAGAGCGAACAACGATCTAATAGAAGTCTGATATAATATTCTATTATGAGAATTCTTAAGAGGTACCTGGAAAAATGGTCCTTACTTTATAAAATTAAAATATCAAGTACAGTATAATTAAAATTGAATTTAAAAAGAATATGAATGAATGAATTCGAATGTGAATAAGGTTCTATACATAATACACGTAGTTTTACATCTGAAGAAGCCATTAGATATTTGAACCGATTGAATGAGATGTTTTCTAAATTCTTTAACTATTTGTAATTAAAAACCCTTCTCTTACACGTTGCATTTAATAATGCAAATTAAACAACCAGACATCATTAAAAATTTATGTAAAATAATATGAGGTAATAAGATTATAAAGGTATTTTCACCTTCATTAATAACTTCATCAGTATCGTTGGAAGAATAAATTTAAAACTGTAGTAAAATTACGCTTAAAAACTGCAATACAGTAATTATTACATTAAATGAAAACTAATAATTAAAATTTTACGTATCAATTTATGTTAAATTCAATAAAACTATACAATAAGAAATTTGATTTTATATTCAATATCAGCTGAATATTAACTTTATTTTCGAATAAAATTATTAAGATAAAAAAAATCTTCGATGACGGTTACACACAAAATTATTCCATAAATATTAAATTTCTTTATAGCTTTATGATATTCAAGCATTGAAAAAGAGTACTCTAGTTAGAGTATGCATGTATTATTTTATGAAATGTACTAAAGAACAAACACTATCTTTAGCTGATGTTACATGACGTAGATCTGACATGCTTTACCTTTCTATTAGTATTACATTAATTTAATGGACATTACTACTG